TGGTATTTGATCGCCTGTGCGGTTTTTATTTTTTGCACTATAAAAAAGGCCGGCAATTTTGAAAAAAACCCGAAAACAATATTTTTGACTTTTTGCTATTAAACATGTCGAGTAAAAAGTTTTATAAAATCTAATTTCGGCATAAATTTAGGCCAAAATGTATTCTGCGACATGTCTTTGCTAAAAAAAAAATCCCAATATATATAATTAATTGGTTTACATGAAAGTTATAGTGTTTACAAATGGTGGTATACAGTTGTGCTCAAAAGTTAGCATACCATGGGCAGAAATTGTGACATTTTGGCATTGATATTGAAAATATGACTGATCATTCCAAAAAACTCTCTTTTATTGAGGATGATGATCATATGAAGCCATTTATTATCAAATAGTTGTTTGGCAAGCCCGCCCTACTCGGAATTGCAAAATTACGTTTATAAATGTGATTTTGCGCACAGGGGCCGCCCTGTAGCAGAATATCTGCTATAGGGCGGTCCTTAATCAGTTAAAGGAGTCTAAAGTGCTCAGTGTACTCCAGGGCTGGGAAAAACAAAGTTTTGGAGGATACCGAGCAGCGGAAGGTGGGGTGAGGTTAACTGAGTATTTGACAGAGTCCCATATTTTCAGTGAATGTTGTAATGTAGGATCAACAATTGGAGATTGATAGGAGGGGGAAGCCACAACAAGTTAAATATTGGGACAGGTGAGCAATATAGTCACGGAGGCCCACAAAGGGAGTTCAGAGATAGTGCAAAGCTTTGTTAGTAGCACAATCCTTGCAGCCTCATAGTATTTAGACAGCCTAGGGACACTAAGGCCACCCAGGGTTTCCATCAGTATAGGATAGAGACTGCAATGCATCATCTGTGGCATCCCCAAATGCATTTTCCTCTGTTTGATCCTGTGGATATGTGCTTAGATAGAGATTGGGAGGCCATTGAATAAATAGAGCATTTTAGGGACATTTCAAGAACAAAAATTTTTCAAACCAGGAAAGTGGGTATGAGTTCCAGTTGGATAGCAAACGTGAGAGCCCCTGTAAAAGATGGGTAGTTTGCATCGAGTCGAGTTTGCAAAGCGTCGAGTGACAAGATGTGAATCCCCAGGTAAGGCAAAGTAGGGGGCCAAGAGAAGTGGTAATTCTCCTAGGTTTGGTGGCGCATGTGAGAATGTATGTAATGGTTTTGATGTAGATTCAGAGATAAGGACATTTTATCCCATGAAAATCACAGTGGTTCCTGCATTCACCTCAGTCAGTTCTGGATTACGTTTAGTCTCGAGTACCATCAAGGGTCAAATCTCAGTCTCGTTAGTGAAGGCCTTTCTACAGGTTGTGCCTCCTGTATGTTTTCCAATCACTCCATGAGATCTCAGCCTGGTTCTCTCAGTTCTTTAAAGACTGTTTTTTGAACTATTCGGGTATTTTTTTGTCTAACCTTACTCGCAAGGTTGCATTACTTGTCGTTATCACTACTACAACATAAGTGTCTGTGTTGGGAGGCCTTAGAAATTAAAAAAAAAAAAAAACCAGAAAAAAATGAAAAACCCTCGCTTTTGCAACACAAGGACAAGGTTGTTTTTAGGCCCAGGGCCTAGTTTCTTCCCAAGGTGTTTTTTTTCCCCTTTCGCCTTAACCAGGAAATTGTCCTAACATCTTTGTCCTGCTCCTAAACATTTTCCTCCACTGTCTGGATGTGCTATACACTGTGAATATATCTCTAAACTTCCTTTTAAAAGTGTGTCTCTCAGTTTGTCATTCCTGTAGGTACCCTTAGGGGACAGCATGCTTCTCATTCTACTAACGCTAGGTGGATTTGACAGCTCATCATTCAAGCTTATGACTTCAAGGGCAAGGTTCCCAGTCAACACACACTCAAACCGATCAGTTAGTGCTTTATGGACTTTTCAGAATAGGCATTACTAGACTCAAAAGGCTGCCATCTGGTCTAGTAACATGTTTGTTAAAGCGGTAATAAACCCAAAACCAAAAACGTAATACAGGTGAAACTCAAAAAATTAGAATATCCTTCTAAAGTTAATTTATTTCAGTAATGCAACTTAAAAGGTGAAACTAAGATATGAGATAGACTCATTACATGCAAATCAAGATAGTTCAAGCCGTGATTTGTCATAATTGTGATGATTATGGCTTACAGCTCATGAAAACCCCAAATCCACAATCTCAGAAAATTAGAATATTGTGAAAAGGTGCTATATTCTAGGATCAAAGTGTCCCACTCTAATCAGCTAATTAAGCCATAACACCTGCAAAGGGTTCCTGAGCCTTTAAATGGTCTCTCAGTCTGGTTCAGTAGGAATCACAATCATGGGAAAGACTGCTGACCTGACAGTTGTGCAGAAAACCATCATTGACACCCTCCATAAGGAGGGAAAGCCTCAAAAGGTAATTGCAAAAGAAGTTGGATGTTCCCAAAGTGCTGTATCAAAGCACATTAATAGAAAGTTATGTGGAAGGGAAAAGTGTGGAAGAAAAAAGGTGCACAAGCAGCAGGGATGACCGCAGCCTGGAGAGGATTGTCAGGAAAAGGCCATTCAAAAGTGTTGGGGACTTTCACAAGGAGTGGACTGAGGCTGGAGTCAGTGCATCAAGAGCCACCACACACAGACGGATCCTGGACATGGGCTTCAAATGTCGTATTCCTCTTGTCAAGCTGCCCCTGAACAACAAACGTCAGAAGCGTCTTACCGGGTTTAAAGAAAAACAGACCTGGTCTGTTGCTCAGTGGTCCAAAGTCCTCTTTTCTGATGAGAGCAGCTTTTGTATCTCATTTGGAAACCAAGGACCCAGAGTATGGAGGAAGAATGGAGAGGAACACACTGCAAAATGCATAAAGTCCAGTGTGAAGTTTCCACAGTCTGTGTTGATTTGGGGAGCCATGTCATCTGCTGGTGTTGGTCCACTGTGCTTCATTAAGTCCAGGGTCAACGCAACCGTCTACCAGATTTTGGAGCACTTCATGCTTCCTTCCGCAGATGAGCTTTATGGGGATGCTGACTTCATTTTCCAGCAGGACTTGGCACCTGCCCACACTGCCATATATATGTATGTATATATATATATATATATATATATAATATATATATAGTCTATCTATATATATTAGTTTATATTATTTCATCTTTTTAAGTTGCACTACTGAAACAAATGAACATTTGCACAATATTCTAATTTTTCGAGTTTCACCTGTATATTGCAGCTTACCAATCATTAGATGTTGTGGCTGTATTAGTTTTCTTCTTTTTTTTTTTTTTTTTTTTTTTAGGCTTTTCTCCCGTTTTCACCTATTGTTCTGTTCAGTAACTCCAGTTCAGAGTTTATAATCAGTTAAGCAATCTTTTTTTTCCTTTCGGTATAAAGGTTTTACATAAATAAAAGTTGATCATTGTAATCTCCCCTGCTAATGTTAGATGGTTTGTTCCATCCCTGTATACTGATAAATCTGGAAGAGAGCTTGTTCTTTTGAAAAAAAATAACTACTTACTGGCTAGATCACCAGATAAAAATATAAGAAAGAAAGCCTAAAAAAGTAAACTAATGCAGCCATCACATTTAAGAATTGGTAAGGTGCAATATGATACATTTTTGCTTATGGGTTTAATACTGCTTTAAGTTACCAGGTGCATGTTCAGGCCTCAGCTGATGCCAGCTTTGGTCATAAGGCTCTGTTGAACTGTTTTCTGTGGGCCCGTTAGCCTTTGTTTGCGCTATTGCTTTTGGATGTCCCAATGTACATAAACAATATGTTACCCCAATATTTCTTATTCCTGATATGCATCTGTACTTGTACCATGTACTTGTGTTAAAAAGAATCCAGTTCTCTTTGTATTGCTTCCTTGGTGTGAGATACCTAGTTATCCTGTCAGTTCCCCTGCTTTCTCATTACAAACTGGCCACACTAGGCATGAGAGCACACCCATCCCACTGTAGTCATTTTGTGACTGTGCTGGGGGCTCAGCCTGCCTGTCCTCCAGTGATCAGATTTGTGTACTGACATGCACCCCTGCACAGCCATTCACTGGGAAGATCAGTGTACTGACATTTCTCTGCCCCCAAGCCTCTAAGCCCCTTATACAGCTGAGAACACAGATTATGTGATCACTTTATAAAAGGAAAAAAAAAAAAAACGGTTATTAATACTTTTTTATATATATCCACAAATGTTGAGCATTTCTGTTCTTTTTTTTAAGTTGAATGGGCTGTTTACAAGGTAAGGGATCACATATATTTTAAATACTCAACTTGTCCAGTGTCCAGTGAAATATAAACAAGAAAATAGGATGTTTTACATACACTACAATCCATTTCTTGGAATATGTTACAAGACACAGGTTTCAACCCCCTGTTCTTATGATCCACTCCTAATATTAGTGAGGCATGCTGGGATTAGGATGGGTAAAATGGGCTGTCCTCACAACTTTGTTATGCCAATGTACAATCTCATGAAAGCACAGTGTGACCTAAAGTGCCTGAATCCTTTGACCATAACGTAATCAAGAAATGCTGTGGTAACTCAAACACTATTTTACAATTTATATGATAGAGATAAAAAAAACAAAGCAAGAAAAATGTCAACTTCCTTATAGCCATTTCCCTAAAATTGTTCATGACAGAAAATGGTATGAGATGGTGAGACAGTCTAGCTGTCAGCTAAAACTTGTGCAGACTATATACAAGACCTTTCCAAATTAAATCCAGACTAGAAATCCCACCCACCTTTGCTTTTAAAAACATGATTAACATGGCCACGCATACCTTTGTGTTAACATTTAGAACGGCTCCCTACAGAGCTGGGTTTCGGCAATTACGCTAATTGTCAGTATTAACTAACCCTTATTAATCTATGGAAGCGATCAGTCATGGTTGCTGCACATCATTACTGCACTTTGCAATACTTAAATGTATCTGTATGCTAACACATAGATCCCAAAGAGCAGGAATACAGCCGACTTCTTAAATGGAACCTGGATCATGTACTGACCTGTTGGCTCTCTTCAGATCATTGACAAATTCTGCAGATTGCTGGTGTCGGATCTCACTACTTTTAGTGAGTCTCTCTAAGGCGCTAACCAGCTCCTGTGCTCTGGACTTCAGCTTCTTTTCCCTGTAATACAAACATTTTCCATCAGACAAGCCTCATAATATGTCAACTACATTTTGAAGAATCAAAGAAATATGCACCACTCCAGCCCTCCCATCATTTTCTGGAATCAGGTCCTGGCTTGGAGTTCGTTACTCCTCCAAAACATAGCTTAGTATAATCAAGGGGAAAGCCATACACCAATGATGTCTTCACGTGCAAACCATTAATCTGCTGACATGCTTCAGAATGGGGTCCTTCCCCCAGCTCCTCTAACATGTTTCATCCATTAAGTTCATTGGGTGATACATGGGGGCAGGACCTTGCCTGTGAAGACATAATCAGCGTGCTGCTTTTCCTTTGGATTATACTGAGCTATGTCAACTACATTGATGTAAATTTACACAGCATAATTTATTATTGCTATCACCATCATCACTGCCCTGTGTTAAGTAAAGTGCTTCTAAAGCCAAATTATTTTTCCCCATTTAGTTCTTGATAAATTGTGGAGGGGTTAGAACCCCTTTTGGGTTTCACTGTTGTGTCTGACCCACTAGGGAGATTCATGCTCTCTATCTCTCCTGCTAACCACTGTCTTTAGGACTGAAAGTGAAGGAAATCCAATATTTTGAGCTGTCAGCAGAATAGGGAGAGAAGTAATATTCTCTGATGGAGACACTATCTAAAAACTTTCTCCTCTCATTTCCTGTTGTATACAGGAGAGAAAGTAAAGGGAAATTTTCCCAATGGGAAACAGATGGCAAAAACCATAAAACCTAAAGTTAAAGTAGAACTATAGGCAAAACTTTTTTTCCCATTTTTGGATAAGAGAAGGGAGGGTAATAACCACTGTCAGATTGTTTTTTCTGTGTCCCATTGCAGAGATTTCCCTTCGCTTCCTGTCCCATAGCCAAACAGGAAGTGAGAGGAATCCCTGCAAATTAAGGGAATTCTTTGAAGACCCCCAGGTCACCAGAACCGGTGTCTCCATTGTCTGGGGACAACCCAAAATTTAGGATTTTCTTGACTTTCACTTTAATGGTAAACAGGACAAATAGGGTGAATATCCCTAAACGGGGCACAGACAACAATAAAAGCTAACAGGGGTACTAATACCTCTCCACTCTATCCAAAACTAACAAAAAATATACTTTAAGGAAAGGAAAAAAAGCAAAATATTGCAATGCCAGAAAATATCACAGTAAACTATTGACAATACAGTGGAAAAAATAATTGATCCCCTGCAGATTTTGTAAGTTTGCCCATTTATAAAGAAATTAAGGGTCTATAATTTTTATCATAGATGTATATTAAATGATAGTGACAGAAAATCAACCAAAAATCCAGAAAAAACACGATACAAATGTTATAAATTGAGTTGCAGTTCAATGAGTAGTGAGCTCCAACAGACTGGCTATATGCTCATGTGGTACACAGATTAGTCCTGTCAATTTAAGAAGGTGCTCCTAATGACAGCTTATGTATATAAAAGACATCTGTTCACAGAATTTCTTTCATTCAAACCTCATCATCATGGGCAGATGACCAAAAGAACTGTCAAAGGATGTCAGGGACAAGATTGTAGACCTGCACAAGGTTGGAATGGGCTACAAGACCATCAGCAAGAAGCTTGTTGAGAAGAAGACAGCTGTTGGAGCGATTATTCTCAAATGGAAGAAATACAAAATAATCACCAATCGCCCTCAGTCTGGAGCTCCATGCAAGATTTCACGTCATGGGGTAAGGCTGACCATGAGAAAAGTGAGGAATCAGCCCAGAACTACACTGGAGGAGCTTGTGAACGATCTCAAGGCAGTTGAGACCACTATGACCTAACCAATCATTGGTAACACAATACGCTACCATGGACTGAAAACCCTGCAGTGCCCGCAAGGTCCCCCTCCTCAAGAAGGCACATGTACAGGCCTGTCTGAAGTTTGCCAATGAACATCTAAATCAGTGGTTCTCAACCTTCCTAATGCCGTGACCCTTTAATACAGTTCCTCATGTTGTGGTGACCCCCAACCATAAAATTATTTATCCAGTAATTATAATTCATGAGTGTTGTTTTACTTCCAATACTGCTGCTTTCAACACAGTAGCTGCTTTTAACAGAGTAGCTGCTTTCAACCCAGCAGCTGCTTTCTACACAGTAGCTGCTCTTTACACATCGGAAATATGTGTTTTCTGATGGTCTTAGGGGACCCCTGTGAAAGGGTCGTTCGACCCCCAAAGGGGTCGCGACCCACAGGTTGAGAACCACTGATCTAAATGATTCAGAAAGTGCTGTGGTCAGTGAGACCAAAATTGAGCTCATTAACTCAATTCGCTATGTTTGGACTAAGAAAAATACTGACTATGACCTCAAGAACATCATCCCTACAGTCAAACACGGAGATGGAAACATTGTATTTTGGTAAAGGCAGACTTTGCTGCATTGAGGGGCCAATGGAAGGGGGCTATGTATTGTAAAATCTTGGATGAGAACCTTCTCCCTCAGCCAGAACACTAAAGATGGATTGTGGATGGGTCTTCCAGCATGAAAATGACCCAATACATACGGCCAAGGCAACAAAGGAGTGTCTCAAGAAGCAGCACATTAAGGTCATGGAGTGGCCTAGCCAGTCTCCAGACCCTAATCCTATAGAAAATTTATGGTGGGAGCTGAACATTCGAGTTGCCAAGTAACAGGCAAGAAACTTTAAGGATTTAGAGAAGTTCTGTAAAGAAGAGTGGACCAAAATCCCTCCTCAGATGTGTGCGAACCTGGTAACCAACTACAAGAATCATCTTACCTCTGTGCTTGCCAACAAGGGTTTCTCCACCAAGTACTAAGTTATGTTTTGTTTGGGGATCAAATACTTATTTGACTTGCTGAACTGCAACTCAATTTATAACATTTGTATCATGTGTTTTTTCTGAATTTTTGGTTGATATTCTGTCTCTATCATTTAAAATACACGTGTCATAAAAATGATAGACCCTTAATTTCTTTGTAAGTGCGCAAACGTACAAATTCTACAGGGGATCAAATAATAATTTTCCTCACTGTATATGCTGTGCATAAACTGTACTGGAAGTAGGTAACATGGGCAGCTAAACAAAGACCAATGTAAGCTACTTGGCCTAAGCATGATTTACTTCTAACAGCAATGCTTGACAAGAAAAGCCAGTTTGCAGAAATAATCCCAGCATAATGTACAAATACAGTGCTCAGAATCACTCATTCTGAAGTGTAAAAATGTAATAATCCCATGTGTCCAGCAGGTGTCACCATTTCTTCAAAACCAGAGCACTCTATAATGGCACTTTTATTACAGATAAAGGTCTTTATTAACCCACCTATGTATTATTTAAAATAATCCACGTATCAATGCATAATTTTCATCTTACCAATTGAGACACCAAAAGTAAGTGGTTTGCAACTGAGTTGTGTGCTTGAATCTGGGGAATTTCTTTTTTTCAATAAAAACCAGTGACTGAGCCAAGGGCTCCAACTGACGTAATATTGTTGCAGGCACAACCGACATTACACAACACAGAATTATTGATGTTTACTATAAACTCAACTTAAAGACAAATGCATCCTTTATAACAACACAAAAGATGTAATAATACACCGGCTATTATAAAACCATACCGTGCAGCATCTTGTGTCCTTTTTTTTTTTTTTTGTTTAAATCAAGGATGTGCCTACTTTGCTCATGGGCCCAACCGTGCATAAGTGTGTGGCCTATGATGTTTCTGCACCATTAAACTAGCACTTAGCATTAATATATTTGTCTAACACCTAATCCTCAACAATAACCAAACACTATCCTGAATGTTAGTGCTATTAGGCTTCAGCAGCTGATCAAATCTATACCATTCTATAAACAAAAAAAAAATATTGGCACAAATTATCTGTGCTGAAAAACAAATACACTTGATCTGAAAATAGTATTTTTTTTGTCACATTATTCATCTCTGGGGACCTGCTTTGTGCTTGTAATGGCACAGGTTGCCCACTAGGTGTCACTGATGTTTAGGTTTTGCAGCACATAGAGACACCTCAAGTATGGCTAGCTTATCAAAAAAGACAGTATTGTGCCTATCTGTATTAGGAAATGATTATATGCATGGTATGATCAGCTTCTGCTCAGCCCACCCAGCAGATGTTTTGACTACCTAGCATCAAGACAATATTAATTAACAGAATGATTAGTGCACACGCTGTAGGTAGGACACTTGATCACATCTATACACAGCCCTGGCTGATTTGGGGCTACAAAGTGGCATTTCATTATTACAGACAGCTGCTGGTCCCATATGTAAACCATAATTGCAGAACAAGAAGAGTGTGCTGGATTCTCTGTAGGGGGAACTGTCCTTAGACAAATGACTGTAGAAGTCATCATAGCATCAGAGAAGGTGTTAAACAGCAAACACTCAAAAATGTGATATTTCAAGTGATTGCTGGTGTGCGGATTTATATGCTGGCCTTTTAGATCCCTCAAGATCTCGCCATTATAAGGTACCCTACCTACTCCAGGTTAACGGAATAGTAGCCAGGGTGTTTTTGGGCAAAGCCATAAAGAGATGGCAAAGTGTTACTAAACCCACAACAATAAAATCAGTCTGTATATTATTATACAGGATTTATATAGCGCCAACAGTTTGCTCAGCGCTTTACAATATAACGGGAGACAATACAGCAACAATACAGTTCAATACAAGAGGGATAGGAGGGCCCTGCTCCTGGGAGCTTACAATCTAGGAGGGAGGGGCTGGTGGTACAAAAGGTAATAACTGTGGGGGGTGGACTGGTTGGAAGAGTAGAAGATTCCAGCATTAGCTGAGGGCAGGATAGGCTTCCCTGAAGAGATAGGTTTTCAGAGATCGCCTAAAAGTGAGCAGAGTAGGCGATAGTCTGATAAATTGGGGTAGAGACTTCCAGAGGATGGGGGAAGCTCTGGAGAAGTCCTGGAGACAAGCATGGGAGGAAGAGACAAGGGAGCTATAGAGTAGGAAGTCTTGCGAGGAAC